TCTTGCTAACAGCAGTTGGCGTAAGTGCAGAGAAGGCGCTGCGTTGGTTTTCTCGAAGATCTTTTTGCATCATTTTGGTGACACAGAAATTGCCGGAACTTTTTCGTCCGACATATTGTTCAAACCACTTTGCCAATTTTACCATGCGTCTTTGTGGATTTCTATTGATTGTTGACAAAGCCTCAGGATTTTCATTAATTGTTGGGAATGTGTCACTGGCCAGACTGAGGATTGTATATGTATAGTTATGCCAATCAATAATGAACTTGCAACGTTTGAACAGCAAACAATACATGTAGCACACGAAAGGTGTTGGTATTCCAGGCGAATTTTGACATAGAATTGTATCGGGCCGGCGAATATTAAATAGTGCAATAAATAAACTCAACGTTTGCCATATCGATTTGAAAAGATATTTCAACATTTTTGGCAAATTGAGTTCGGGAAATGCTACCAGTTGCTGAATGTTACATTTCGCATTTTGACGAATTTCGGCGATTGGTTCAGTGTCACCATAATCCAATGAGATCAATATTAAAATCATGCTGTAACAAACTTTTCACATGGTATTGCATCCGAGGTGATCGTCCAATATCGCCCAACACTATGACACAAATATTTCGTTTACCATTAGGAATGCGGCTGTTTTTTACCTTTGATGATGATGACATTCTTGTTGCATTCACTTTGTTATCATCTACTGTTTCTTCTTCTTGTTTATTATTGTTCCAATTTTCTATCTTCGACTGATTTTTCTTGTTTTTTTTTTCGTAAGCCACGCTCGTAAGCCAAAAATCGCATTCATACAGAAAACAATTTAAAAAAACGAAACCAAATTACGCGAGTTGCGTTGAAAAATTTGCGTTTCGGTGACAGTATTGTGGGAATGTCATAAACGTCATCTGTTATAAGGCCTGAACAATTATTAAAATTCAATTAATTATAAGGTTTTATTCTTATTTTTGAATTTTTCGGATCAAATGTAGAAAAAATGATAATTCTTAGGTGTATTATATTCAACATTGATATAAAGTAACCAATGACTTTTTGACATGGAGTCAGTCAATCGCGATTGATTTTTAACATCGCTTCACGAATGTTATACTTTTTTATGTATTTCTGTATGAGGCCAAGGCTTAATGTCGAAGTGAAAGACGTCATTTCGGATGGTTTTGGTGGTTTTAATGTATCTTCAAGCGGTTTGATGGCCGGCCCACCTTCATGGTCCTTCACAAATGCAATGCAGCCATCACGAAACAAAAAGGACACTTGAAATGTGTTATCAAAAGTGTACATCATGTTGGTAGGATCGATGACCTGCAAATGATAAATAAATAACTTTTTACCCAGACTAATAAGATGAGTAGTAATTACTAGTTACTAGTTACTACTGACCAGTTGGAAGTATGGAATTGGTTTTGAGCCATTCTTTCGGTATATCTGGAAGAAAAAAAAGAACCGAACATAGAAGAGAGTGTATAGCGTATAGCGTAAATGAGAGAGTTAATCTGGTTTACTTCTTTGATTGTATTGAAAACGATTTCAACTTTCGAACTGCCCGTTTCTGTGTTGACACCAGCTTCAGTCACAGTAGTTGGTCGTTTTTCGGCAGTCGGATTAGCTGCTTTACGACGTACAAAACGTTCTTTCTGCGCTGCCTGCGACGCCCCGGCAACGTCATCAAAATCAAAAATCCCGAACGTTGAAGACGTTGCAGAAAATGATTTAGCAAATCCAGCGGTGATTCCATCCAACTTGGACCAGTCGCAAATGTTGTGTTCATCCAGAACACTTTCAATCTAATGAAGAAGAAAAAGTGGATACAAAGATTATTTTCCGGGGAAAATACCTGTATATTTTTTCTTCACATTGTTAGCTAAAACCCGAAACAGATGTTATGTATGAGTAAGACCAATTTCAAGGATTTTGTATTGTGGCAAAAGTGTTCGATTGGCAATTGTTGTGTATAACCATTTTTCAACTTCTCACAGTTATTACATTCGTTATTTCTTCTTTTGTTATTTTCTCATTGGATATAAAAGTAAAAACGGCTTTATAATTCTATGGTTGAGATTGAGAGTGGAGTATGTTTTTTCTTCGATTTATATTTTTGAAAAGGCGAGTATGTTTTCTGATGATTCTGTTGGCGTTAAAGTAGAGTATGTTGTAGTACCGTCTAGCCTCCGCGGTCTTCATGGTTTTCGCGCAACTGATAAAAGATAACAACATGGTGTCTTCGGCAAAGTTGTAGTACTTGAGGTCTTCTATAACTAAGCTGAAGACAATTATCTCTTATCTCTTATCAGTTGCGCGCAAATCGCGCACATAAAAAAGCAAATTTTATATAGAAACTTGCTCTTCTCTTTCGTAACAAAGTCAATCAAACATACACTACTCTCAATCTCACCCATAGAATTACCAACGCAGCTGCGAAGTTATCGTCAGAAAATTCATCATTTTCTATTTTATGTACAGTTGTCCCCATAAGATCGCTGGCCAGCTTACAAACCTATCGAAACCAAATGAGATATTGAAACAAGACCATTTGAACAAAAAATACCAATATGCCAACCTGTGCATCCAACACAACCTCAGCGGATTGTCCAATTCGATCGGAAAGTGATCCTTGTCCAGCCAATTCATTCGATCTGGTCAACAAATCTTTCAATGTTGTCAAATTGTCCGCAATCGATTTATTATCCAAATTTTCAGCAGCTTGACCCCCTAATTCTAGTAAATGTTTGTACTCTCTCTTGCGAACGGCACTTTGAAGCAGAGATGAGTTCAAATCATTTTCACCAGACATTTTTTCCGAAATTGGCTTTATTCAAATGTATAACTTTTCAATTCGTCTTGATCAATTTCTTGCCGATACAAAAAAGGATGACTAGCAGTCATTTAGTTCACCCGATTGGCCGGCAGATGGCTGCTTGTCGTAATATATGTTCATATGTCTCAGATGTCAAATCACTTTTCTAATGAGAAAAATGGCACAAAAGACGGAACTATGAAGAAAGCATTCAGTGCAAACTCATCTGGATTCAGTAATTATTCTTTTAAATAAATTGTTGAATTAAAATCGAGAAAATAGAAATCAAATTACAACACATCAATATGGATCAATTGTCTCGGAGCGATATAATCGCAGTTTTTGTGCGTGTTGGTATTGGGGCGGCTGTAGCCTTTTATTCGATAAAATGGTTAATGAATCAAATGGACCCGACCATTCAAAGTAAGAAAAAAGCACGGACAAAGGCAGAATTCCAAATAAAACGGATTACGGAAACAGACAAAAGTCTTAAAATCGATATATCCACATTATCTGATTATGAACTGGTAAAATAATGAACGCAGATTTTTCTGATTAAATGATGTGGTGTAATTTAATTTGTTTTGTTCTGTTTTGTTTTATTTTGTATGACAGGTAATTGCATCGCATTTGGTTGTGCCTGAAGGTATTTAATATTTAATCTACCCACTATTTATTGAAATTGGTAGCTTTTAATGAATATATTCACTGTAAATAAATAAAGACATCAACGTCAGCTGGGCAGATATAGCAGGTTTAGATTCCGTGATACAAGAGCTTCGGGAAAATGTCGTATTGCCAATTCGTCATCGACATTTGTATTCATCATCACAGCTGTGGAAAGCGCCCAGCGGTGTACTTCTACATGGCCCGCCGGTATGTTTTCCTAACTAATTTTTAAAGAAAAATTAGAACAAAATCTCATTTAATCAAAGAATGATCACTAATTTAATCAATAGGGATGTGGCAAGACGTTGATTGCAAAGGCAACCGCAAAGGAGGCTGACATGCGTTTCATTAATCTCGACATTGCAATGCTCACCGATAAATGGTATGGTGAATCTCAAAAACTGGCATCAGCTGTATTTTCATTGGC